GTAAAGCACTAAAAAGAAGGTACAGGTAGGATGGCAACCCAGTTGCCAAGTTGTTTGTGCTAAGTTGTTTGGAGTATTCTGTGTATGGGATCTAATCTTCTAGTTTAATAAAAGTCTGACTTCCTTTTGATGTTAATGTCAAGAATTTTAAACAAAAAAGAAGTTAGGACAACCTAAAATTCATGCACAAAAGAGTAGTAAAAATAAACGCAAGCAGTGTAAAAAGAATTAAAACAATTTTAAATTTCGGCTTGGAGCCTGTAGCATAGTGGTTACAGCACCAGCCATATACACTGAAGTTGGTGGGTTCAAACCCAGCCCCCGCCAGCTAAACAACAATGACAACTGCAACAAAAAATGGTCGGGTGTTGTGGCGGGCTCCTGTAGTCCCATTTACTTGGGAGACTGAGGCAAGAGAATCGCTTGAGCCCAAGAGTTTGAGGTTGCTGTAAGTTGTGACACCATGGCACTCTACTGAGGGTAACATAGTCAAACTCTGTCCCAAAAAGAAAAAACAAACTTAAACTTAGTACTGCCTTAACCAGACCCATTTGAAAACTTGGGTCTCAGAGTACCTCACTCTTAAGAGGTTGTACAGAGCCCAAGATAGATTTGAATCACTTTTAAACATTTAACAATAAAGCTTTGCTGGGCATAGTGGTTAACACCAGTAATCCCAGCATTTTGGGAGGCTGAAGTGGGAGGATCGCTTATTTAAAACTTAGGAGTTGGAGACTGACCTGAGCAACATAGGAAGACCCCATCTTTATTAAAAAAAAATTAGCCAGATGGTACATGCCTATAGTCCTAGCCACTTGGGAGACTGAGATAGGATCATTTGAGCCCAGGAATTGAAGACTTCAGTGAGCTATGATAATATCACTGCACTTAAGCTGGGGTAACAGGGCAAGACCTTATCTCAAAAATGAATGAATAAATGTGAAGCTTACTTAATAAGTTATTTGGTATCCTGGGAAACTGAAGAAATTTGATTCCTTTTAGGAGTTTGCTAAACAGTATTCTGCCTTCAAAATTATATTAATAGGAAAAGATTTCCTTTCTGGAAAAAAAATAGTTTAAATTTTATTTATTTTCCTTTAGAATAATATTGCAGTAGTAGTGATAAATACACCCAAATAAATTAATGCTTTGTTGAGGAATTTTGGGTGTCAGGCTTTTTGTTTTTTGGGGGGGTGGATTGTTTTTTGGTGTTCTTTTAAGAGATAAGGTCTCCCTCTCTCACCCATGCTGGAGGGCAGTGGCTTGATCATAGCTTGCTGTAACCTCATACTCCTGGGTTCAAACAATTCTCCTGTCTCAACCTTCCAAGTTGCTGGAACTATAGTTATGTGCCACCATGCCTGGCTATTTTAAAAAACAAAAATTCGGCTGGGTGTGGTGGCTCACACCTGTAATCCCAGCACTCTAGGAGGCCGAGACAGGTAGATTGCTTGAGCTCACAAGTTTGAGACCAGCCTGAGCAAGAGCGAGACTATGTCTCTAAAAACTAGCCTGGCATTGTGGCAGGCACCTGTAGTCCCAGCTATTCAGGGGGCTGAAGCAAGAGGATAGCTTGAGCCCAAGAGTTTGATGTTGCTATGAGCTATGATGCCATGACATTCTGTCTCAAAATGAATGAATGAATGAATGATGAATAAATAAATAAATAAATAAATAAATCTATCTGCCTGTCTATCTTTTGTGGAGATGGCATCTCATTATGTTGCCCAGGCTGGTTTTGAACTCCTTGTCTAGGATTACAAGCATACGCCATGGCAGCTGGCCAGGAATTTTATAATTTCTCAAATCATGAAGTATCACCACAGATCTTTTTGGTAATAAAAGAAAAGTAGCATTCTGAGAAATTCCATTCTCTGTGCCAAACACAATGGATTTATTTGAGTAACACATAGAATTTAAACTGAAGAAAACCAGTTCTTTAAGAGCTCAAGACCAACCCTCTCCATTGCCATCTCTTTCCCTCCACTGTATCACTATCAACTGTGTTAGACTCTATTAGAATAAAACAACACCTTTCATTTTTCCTGTTCTCACTATTCATTACTTTTTTTCTTTTTTTCCTTATTCCTATTTTTTATACCTTATCATCATAGTGGTTATCACTCAGTGATGTGGACAGATTCACATTTATCAGCAGCTTTCTCTTTATTCCCTGGTTATGATTAAAATACCTTTCTTTCATATAACAAATTTTTCTACCACTTTCTCTAGAAAGATGTTAACTATATTCTACTTCCTAGTTGTTTTAGAGGTGAAATTAATTTTTGTCCCTGATCTCCCTTACCCTTCATTTTATTTCTATGCTATTTTACATCTTCCTTTCTAAATTATAATCACCTTTGGTATGCCTAGCCAAATTTCTTCAAGGTTTGAATGCCTAGTTTGCCTGCCTTCTTTAAAACTAGTTTCCACATGAGTGTCCAGTGGAAAGAGTATGGGCTTTGGAGTCAGAAACATCTGGGTTTGAATCCTGGTTCCACAGTTACTTTCTCTGTATGACTTTGAGTAAGTTACTTAACCTCATCAAGATTCATTTACTTTATCTATAAAAATATATGTGGAGATAGATTATATATAAAATTGCCTCAGGAGATTCTTTTTTCTTTTTTTGGTTGGTGGGGTTTCTTTTCTTCTGCTTTTTCCTTTCTTTTCTTTTTTCTTTTTTTTTTTTTTGAGCATTCTGTAATTTTTCTAATGTTTGGCACAAATTAGATGCTTAGAAATGTTCTCATCTCTTCTCTCCTACATAGTCACAACTGTAAATGTACTCTTTATCTCATTTTTGCAGTATATAATCTTTCAAAATCTTCTTTTGAAGACAGCTTTAGCAAATTTCTGAAATAGCTACTGTATGTATTGACTCTTATAAACTTGAACAATTTTGTACTCGTTGTTTTTGGAATTTCTTTTGAATTACAGCTTTTATATCATCTTTGTTCTTTTTTTTTCCTTTATAATCCAAAATAATCTGACCTATCTTCTGAAATTCTTGTTGTTGGTTGTAGGATGGTTCTAGATTACATAGAATTTTAATAGCCTATTTGAACTACTATTAACATGGCCAGAAATGTGAATGGAAGTGAATTAATTTAACTTTCTTAATACTGTTTACTTAAAAAATGATGGTGTGATGGGATGTGACTGAGAAATAATCTGTTTGTTGAGTATTTAAAGGGGTCTTTGTCCACCACTGTTTTTTCGAACATTGTTACAAGGCAGTTGACTCATACACCTGGCAATTTTAATCTCAGAATGGATATGATTGATGAGGAAACTCTGTACAGTGGCTTTTGCTAGCCCATGGCTTAACTGTGCATGTCCCCAGTTTATCTGTGCAGAGAGAGCCAATGAGTAAGGCTTGGATTTTAAAGAATTTTAGTATGGTTTGTCATATGCCAGACTTTTCAGACCATTATAGTACGTGGACTCATATCTTTTGTGGTATTTCCTGCTGTCCTTCCTTCTTTCTCTCCTTTTCATAATTGTCTGTTAGGAGCAAGGCCAGTTTTTCACAGCTCTATCTTCCAAGAGCTGTTAAATCAGAAATAGAATATCTCTTAGTCGATTTCAATCAGTTTTTGTAAATAGAGATATCAGTGACATAGGGGAAAAAGGAAACAAAAAGAGACAGTGGAAGAGCCACTCTGGATTCAGACTTGAGAGTCTGGGTATAAGGGTACAAGTGAATCTTTATAAAAGTAGAATATTAACGTCTTAACACAATAACTAAGAAAATGACATGAAGGCTACGTTAACCAGTTTGATGAAAATATTTCAAATGGTATATGAAAACACCACACTGTACCCCAGGATTGCATTAATGTACACAGCTATCATTAAAAAAAAGAGAGAGAGATGGAATCAAACGTGCATGAGGGCTCAGCGCCTGTGGCTCAAGTGGCTAAGGTGCCAGCCACATACACCTAAGTTGGCGGGTTCGAATCCAGCCCGGCCCGCCAAACAACAGTGATGGCTGCAACCAAAAAAATAGCCAGGCATTGTGGCGGACGCCTGTGGTCCCAGCTACTTGGGAGGCGGAGACAGGAGAGTCGCTTGAGCCCAGGAGTTGGAGGTTGCTGTGAGTTGTGATGCCACAGCACTCTCCCCAGGGGGACAGCTTGAGACTCTGTCTCAAAAAAAAACAAAAAACCGTGCATGAGACCTTTGGATCCTCATTTTAACACATAAGCTATTGGCATTTAATTACGAATGACGTATTGGGTGGTAAATTAACTTTGATTCTTTGCTAGTTGTGATAATGAGATTCTGATTATGTCAGTAAGTGTTCACAGATTTTAGAGAGGTGTACTAAAACATATAGGGGTGAAATGATGTTTGATTTTTGCTTTAACAAAAAGCAGGGGGAAAACAGATAGGTAAAGAAAGGTAGCAAAGTCTTGATAAATGTTGGATCTTGGTGCTGGGTATATGAATTTCATGGTCCTATTTTACTTGTTTTTATTTTCCACAACAAAATTATTTTTAAAGCATTGGACTCTGTTTCTCTTAACTGAAGAAGAAAGGACATCACCAAGTCTTACTGAGCGATCACATAATTATCTCTACTTGATTACTTATTTTGGTTTGTATAAATAAATGACTGTATAAACCAAAACAGTCATTATTCCTACACAGAGTCAGAATGACTTTCGATTCTTTTTCCAAAGGTTGACTCCTGCTTTCCTTTTGTCTAGCCAAACCTTCCTTTCCACCAGTGTGCTAATTGCAAACAGAACTTTTAAGAAGTGTTCCATATAGTAGGCTCATTAACATCTGGAATTCTTTCCTTTTACTCATCTGACAGCTTGATCTTCGTGCTCCCACTACTCTCTTCTCATTTTTTTTTTGTGTGTTTCATGTTCTATATGTGATCTTAAGTTTTCAAGTTACACATGCAAGATTTTTCTCAGCTATCTGATGACTGTGTACTGGTATAATAAGTGATTATGAGGGGTTATATACTTTCTAATTTTTATATTATTGATGTAGTACAATTTATAGCAAAAAGGAAAAACTGGTCATTTGGGGAGTAAGGATTATGTATTTGCATTATTTTAATTTTAAATAATTTTAAATGTTAGACAATGTTTATAAAGGTTTTCTTTAAGTCCAGCAAACTAAAAAGTACATTGACATTTATCCGTAATCGTCTGACACTTCTCTAAGATGTGAACTGTATAAGATGTGTTATGTTGTGCATGGCCAGGGAAGGCAAATCAGAACTCACAGTTGGCCTCCATTACATAAGTAATCTGCTTATGTATAACAACTTTTTGATTCTTTTTAGAATCAAGATTTGTTTGCTCCATCACAAAATAAGGAATTTGATCCCCTTGGTCCTTTGCCACATGGATGGGGTAAGTAATTGAATTCTTTTCTGTCATTTTTTTAGTCTATGTTTTAAAAATTTATTTATTTTTCAGTTATTTAAAAAATCAAATATTTATGGACAATACCCTGCCTGTATTTGATTATCTGGGATGTTTTTTGGCTATGTCAGTTTAATTCAGAGTACTTAATAGGCATTACATTCTACAAACATTCTATATCAACTCTTTTACTACAAAACACTTTTATTATAAGTTAGAATTATTTTTAAAATATTGATCATTCAGCAATAAAAAGGAAATATAGTAATCTGGGTAAACCTCAAGGGATTATGCTTAGTGATGAAAATCCATCTCAAAAGATTACATACTATATGATTCAGTTTATATAACATTCTCAGAAGGATAAAACCATAGATGCAGAACAGATTAGTAATTGTCAGGAGACAGTGTTTGTGGGAGGTGAGTACAAATGTAAGAAGTAACACAGGTTCTTACATGATGATGGAATGGTTCTATGTCTTGCTTGTAGTGTGATCACATCAATCTGTACATGGCATAGATATGCATAGAAGCTTATATTCACATAAATTAATTCAGTTTTGTAAAGTAATGAAAATTAAACAAGGTTTGTAGTTAACATTAATGGACCAGTGTCATTTCATGGTTTCAGTAGTGTACTATACAGTGTAACACATAACTATAGAAGATGTTATCTTGGAGTAAACTGGTTGAAGAGTACATAAGACTCTGTGTAGTTATAGTTAACATTAATGGATCAGTATCATTTCATGGTTTCAGTACTGTACAGTACATTACTGTACAATGTAACACATAACTATAGAAGATGTTATCTTTGGAGTAAACTGGTTGAAGAGTACATAAGACTCTGTATAGTTTTTGTAATGTCCTGTCAGTAATAATCATTTAAAAATAAATAGATTAAGAAATTGTGATCACATTGGTTCTTCTAGACCATAGTTCAGAGTTTAGGTAAATTGGCATTATCTGATAGAACCGCTAAAGGAAAACTTGTGAGAGATACCCTATATCATGAAGCACGTTATTGAGTATATTTGGTACTTTAGTTACTAAAGTTTTATTACTAAACTTTGAAATGGACCTACACTACCAGGTTCTGTTGTGTAGTTTTATGTAATAGTCACAGTTCTATATCCAGTTTCCAGAATAGAGATGGCAATATAGAAACAGTTTTGCATGGAAGCAAAGGAGAATATAGAGTATGGAAAACAGCAAAATAAAGCCAATTATGGGACCAGATAGAGTTTTATCTCAAAGAACTGAAGACATTTCCTGATACTGTAGTAAATTCAGAAAGTGATATAGTCTTGTCAGGAAACATTTGTACCAAGATAGATTCTGCTAACACTACTGAGTAACGTTGAAAGCAATTGACTATAGATAGGCTGGAGAACCAAGAATGCCTTTGGTTCAACAAAGTAGTTTAATGGGGCTTTGTATAGCTGGTTTACCCATCAAGTATATTTTCTTGTTTTCATAGTTAGTATGAAAGAATACATAGAACAACAAGAAGCTTCTGGTTTTTACTGTTGTATTGATCAAGTCAAAGTATTCTGATATGCATTCAGGTTTGATGTTCAATAATTTAAGTATTGTTTATCATGTGATTTTTCAATGAAGTGCTTCTTATCATTAAGTAGATGAGCCTTCAGTTTATGTGTCCACCTTTGAAACTTTCTATTTTACACCACCTTGTCCAAGAAATACTGATATCAGCAGTATATACATAGAACATAAATGGGAAACAAATTTGCTATTAACTTTGTCTTGCCTTAGGTTAGCTCCTGAAAGAAAAAGCTCTGGCCCTGAAAATTAAACTTACATGGCAGATAAAAGGTAGACATATGCTCAGCTGTGCACTTAGGATATTAATTTCAGGTTATAAGAATTATCTTTAAAAATGATTTGAATAAAAAAGACAATTCTAGATTCTATAGATAAGTTAAAATTTTTATTTTATTTATCATTTATTTATTTATTTGAGATACAATCTTACTGTTACTCTGAGTAGAGTGCAGTGGCATCATAGGTCACAGCAGCTTCAAACTCTTGGACTCAAGAGTTGCTCTTGCCTCAACCTCCTGAGTAGTTCTGGGACTACAGGCACTCTCTAAGGCTAGTAGAGATAGGATCTTTCTTTTGCTCAGGCTGGAATTAAAAATTTTTAATTTAATGCAACTACCAAGGCATGAATTGACCTTGCTGGTATATAACAAGTGCAAGCCATAGCACTATGGCTGGTTATTTGCATTTTAGATACAGCCTTAAAATTGGTGACATATTCCTGCACTCAACCATGCCTTGACCAGAAAAGCCTATGTTAATATTCAGCTTGTGTCATGAGATATAGTCTTGTTTTTCTGTATATTAATGCATACTTGGAGTATTTTTTCCATTTTAGGCTCAGCTGATGTAGAAAGTAGCTGAGATGTTGGGATTGGGTTTGTATTGTAATACTAGTATATCCATTATAACCCATACCATCACTGCTTCTTGAAATCTTGGAATCAAAGTCAGAAATATAACTGTTACCAGATTCTAACTGGAGAAGGCTGTCATTTGGCCTAAGACTCATCCTTTAATATCTTGCTAAGTAAAGATTCAAAGAATCTAAGTAAGTGTTATTTAAAAAATAGGTATAAAATAGAAGTAAAAATTAACTTTGTCAGCATGGCTTCAATTTTAACTTTGATTGAAAATTACTGATTCTTAGAAACTATGCTTTTAAATCGTTTAAACCTGTTCTATGATACATCAGTTACTCATTTTGAGACATGTTGACCAAATGAAAAAATTCAGATACAGAGTCTTATCTTTTGAAAAATTAATTAGTAATGGAGTAAAAATGTCAGTAGTTCAAAGATAGCAGAACTAAATACAAAAATGTCAAAGCAGTTTGATTTGGTTATTAAAAGAGAAAATGATAGCCATATCTTTTAAACCTTAATGGAGAAAACTCAGGAAAGTGGGAAATATCATAGAGTGGGCATGAGAAAACAAGGAGAATCCTAAAGCAAAGAGCAGGTGAGAAATAAATAATAGCTTTAGATGCTTTAATTAGAGAACTTAGCCCTGCTGCCCCGCCCTTGTATTAGAAAGTTGCAATAGGCTGGGCACCTGTAGCTCAAGTGGATAGAGCGCCAGCCACATATACCAGAGCTGGCGGGTTTGAATCCAGCTTGGACCCAAACAATAATGACAGCTATAATCAAACAACAGTGACAACTACAACCAAAAAAAATAGCTGAGCGTTGTGGCGGGCACCTGTAGTCCCAGCTACTTGGGAGTCTGAAACAAGAGAATCGCTTAAGTCCAAGAGTTGGAGGTTGCTGTGAGCTGTGATGCCATAGCACTCTACCAAGGGCAACAAAATGAGACTCTGTCTCCAAAAAAAAAAAAGGTACAATAGATACTTAGGATTTTGGAATTGTGTATATTAAGGAACAGGGTATATTTTAAAAGAAATGATGTCTTTCCTAGTTGGACAATGCCTGCTATATACTAAAGAAGCAATTAAGTTATGTTCCTTAATTATACTTTAAAAAATAAGTTTAGCTGAACATGGTGGCTCATAACTATAATCTCAGCACTCTGGGAGACCAAGGGAGGTGGCTTGCTTGAGCTCAGGAGTTTGAGACCAGCCTGAGCAAGAGCAAGACCCTGTCTCTACTAAAAATAGAAAAACTAACTGGTCACTGTAGCAGGTACCAGTAGTCCCTGCTACTTGGGAGGCTGAAGCAAGAGTTTGAGGTTGCTGTGAATTATGATGCCATAGCACTCTACCCAGGGCAACAGAATGAGACTCTGTTTCCAAAACAAAAACAAAAAAGAAAGAAAAAGAAATGAGTTGATGTGATATGGGAAAAATTCCTGAATAGAGATTCAAGTTTCCGTCTCAGCTACTTAATTCTGATGTTTCAGATAGATCCTGTAACCTAAGTTTTCTTATCTTCAGGATAAAAATAAAATTGCCTACCCCTGGGGCTATTAAGAATTAAATAAAGTCATGTGTAAAAAGCTAAAGAACTGTTAGTTATCCTTGCTGCTTTTGGTTGGATTGAGCAAAAAGATCTCATGGGCAGGCCATTACAGATAAAGTCTATTCAGCTTTTATGACATAATGATACTTCTATAACTTGTGTAGGTATGTGCCTTTAATAGTCAAAGAATAGGCCAGGCACGGTGGCTTACACCTGTGATCCTAGAACTTTGGGCTGCTGAGGCAGGAGGATTGCTTGAGGCTAGGAATTCAAGACCAACCTCGGCAACACAGTGAGACCACTGTCTCTACTATATATACTTTTTTTTTTTTTTTGCAGTTTTTGACCAGGGCCAGGTTTGAACCTGCCACCTCCAGTATATGGGGCTGGTGCTCTACTCCTTCAAGCCATAGTTTTGGTTTTTTTTGTTTTTTTTTTTTAATGAGCCTGGTGGCGTGGTTGCATGTATCTGTAGCCCAAGCTTCTCAAAATGGTAAGGTGGGAGGATTGTTTGAGCCTCGGAACTCAAGCTGCAGTGAGCTATGATCACACCACTGCACTCTAGCTGGAAGACAGAGTGAGACCCCATCTCTTTAAAGAAAAAGAAGTCAAAGAAGAAATTAAACCTTTTAAAGCAATGATTTAAAAAGTATAAAATCAACAGCACGGTGAGAAAAAGATTAACTCAGATCATTTTATTTTATGTTGGGGAATAAGACTATGCTAATACTTTTTTTTTTCTTTTTTTTAAAGAGAAGAGGACGGATAGCAATGGAAGAGTATATTTTGTCAACCACAACACTCGAATTACACAGTGGGAAGACCCCAGAAGTCAGGGGTAAGACCGTTTAGTTACTAGTGTATATATAATCTTTCAAAAATTGTACTTTATTTCTGACTCTATTGCAAAGATCAAAGTTATATGTTCTGGCTCGGCGCCTGTGGCTCAAGTGGCTAAGGCGCCAGCCACATACACCTAAGGTGGTGGCTTCAAATCCAGCCTGGGCCCACCAAACAACAATGATGGCTGCAACCGAAAAAAAAATGGCCAGGTGTTGTGGCAGGCACCTGTGGTCCCAGCTACTTGGGAGACTGAGGCAGGAGACTCGCTTGAGCCAGGAGTTGGAGGTTTCTGTGAGCTATGATGCCACAGCACTCTACCCAGGGGACAGCTTGAGGCTCTGTCTCAAAACAAAAAAAAAACAAAAAGAAACCAAAGTTATATGTTCTTTTGCCAAAGGCATTAAACATTAATCACCTACATACTTTAGAAAGAGAAAAAAATTTATATTACTTTTATATAATGGAAAACTTGAAAGTTTCTTGAATATAAGGAAAAAACCTCACTGGAAAATGAGAATACACTTAATTATTCCAAATATTCAGGGGCAGCGCCTGTGGCTCAAATGGTACGGCGCTGGCCCCATATGCCAGAGGTGGTGGGTTCAAATCCAGCCCAGGCCTGCTAAACAACAACAAAAAAATAGCCGGGCATTTGGAAGAGGACACAGTTCAATTCATAACAGTCTGTAATACTATGCTTTTATTGGACTGCGGGAGCATTCTTTTCTGCAAGGATTTGACAGGCTGTACAGTCAGAGGCGTGTAGTCCTCCGTAAGATTGTCCTTACTTCAAACATCAGCCACCACTCATTTCAGACCAACTGCCTATAATTTGGAGGATCCTTACAACCACTTTCGGGTATGATAATTCACTAGAAATATCAGAACTTACTGAAACCCATTACACAATTGTATTTATTATAGTGAAAGGATACAAATTAGAACCAACAGAAGGAACAGATGTATAGGGCAGAGTCTGGGAGGATTTCAAATACCCAGCATTGTTATGGGACGCTAAACATCGATGTTGAGTAATGGTCAACCAGGGAAGTCTCTGGTATTCATAGTTTTCGTGGTATTTAATCACTACATACTACCTTCTTGGCTACCTTTTATCTCAAGCCCTTTCTGGTTGGTTGTTGGCTGACCTTTAGTGTCTAGTTTCTCCAGAAGTTGGAACTTCTATGGCATGTCCTGAAGCCTCCGTCATAAATCACACCATTGACTGTCTAGTAATCAAAACCCCTGGGCAAACTCCTAATAGGCAGGACATTCTAGGGACTTAAATATACTACCTAGTAGCTAAAGTGCAAAAGCCAGCCCTCTCTTAGGATCCTTAATTCTTCACTACACATCTTCCATGGCTCAAACATTGTAGTAAATTCTGTTATTAATCAGAAGGTACTCTTTAAGGTTTCATATATCTATTTCTTGCTGCCAACAAATGACAGTATTTTTTATGAAATTATTGTATTTAACTTAAGTTTATTCAATATCCAAAAAGAAAGAATTTCAGGGCAGTACCTGTGTCTCATTGAGTAGGGAGCCAGCCCCATATACTGAGGGTGGCAGGTTCAAACCCTGACCTGGCCAAACTGCAACAAAAAATAGCCGGGCATTGTGGTGGATGCGTGTAGTCCCAGCTACTCGGGAGGCTGAGGCAAGAGAATCACCTTAGCCCAAGAGCAGGAGGTTTCTAAGAGCTGTGATGCCACAGCACTCTACCGAGGGCAACAAAGTAAGACTCTGTCTCTAAAAAAAGAAAGAAAGAAAGAATTTCAAAGGTGGCATTTAAAATTCTTCTTTAAAATTCCATGGCTCTGTGCCCGTAGCGCAGTGGTTACTGGTGCCAGCCACATACACCAAGAGTGGGAAGTTCGAACCCTCCCAGGCCAGCTAAACAACTGCAACAAAAAAAATAACCGGGTATTGTGGCAGGCGCCTAGAGTCCCACTTACTTAGGAGGCTGAGGCAAGAGAATTGCTTAAGCCCAAGAGTTTGAGGTTGCTGTGAGCTGTAATGCAACAGCACTCTACCATTTTGTGTTTTTTTGTGTTTTTTTTTTTTTTTTTGGAGACAGTCTCACTATGTTGCCCTCTGTGCTGAGGGCACTGCTGATGCTAAATATTTTTAACCTTTTGACATAATTTAGAAAATATGATTCTAGGCAATGATTCTCAGCCCTTTGTTCTTAAGAACACTTCAGGAAAGTGACATGTCATTGGTAACAGTGGTTCTCTATAGCAGTGAGCCTAAATGCCTCCTTTCCCTCCCATTCTTTCTCTCTGATGTAAATTTGAACATTTGCATTGTTTTCTTTCATATCAAACCCCTCAGATGAAAAGACTGAAGCTGTAAAATAGAAAAAATTAATTGGCACATCGTTGTACCTAACCATCTAAAATGACTGTCTGCCATTATATCAAAATACACAAATAAAGACAACAAAGGGAGGATTCAGTAGTTCTCTGTTCATACATTTACTTTTTTCCAATTATTTATTTATTTATTTATTGAGACATAGTCTCACTATGTCACCCTCACTAGGTGCTATGGCGTCACAGCTCACAGCAACCTCCAACTCTTGGGCTCAAGCAATTCTCTTGCCTCAGCCTCCCAAGTAGCTGGGACTATAGGCACCCACCATAATGCCCAGTTATTTTTTCGTTGTAGTTGTCATTGTTGTTTAGCAGCCCTGGGCTGAGTTCAAACCCGCCAGCCCCAGTGTATGTGGCCAGCGCCCTGTCCACTGAGCTACGGGCACTGAGCTTATTTCCTTTTTTTGAAATAGAGCCTTACTCTTTTGCCCAGCTTAGAATAGCATAGTGTCAGCCTAGCTCATACCAACCTCAAACTCCTAGAGTCATGCATTCCTCTTGCCTCAGCCTCCTGAGAAGCAGAAACTACAGGTACCTACTATACTACCTTGCAACTTTTCTGTCTTTTTTGTCAGTGTGATTTGATGCAAGTGAAACACCTACTCAGTCAATTTGCATTGAACTGAGGGACCCCGGGGGCCAACACCAGCAAACACTCCACAAGAGGAAACAAAGGTGTGGCCTCTCCCAACATTCTTCACTGGCTTTTATTCCAGTCTCAGGCATAAGAAAATACAGTACAGTGGCAAGCTTCAAAGAGAGAATAAAGGTTACAAAGCAAGTAGTTTTTCTTTAGCTGCATGCTTGAACTCCTAATATAGCCCATTTACTGCACTTCTGTCTTGCTTAATCTTATCACTGCTAATATATAACTTAGGGCTGAGACAGTTTGCTGTATCTAGTATTGTTTTCAGCACTCATGGTTAGCAGTGATTCTTGGCTTTTTCCCAGATTACTCTGTCCTTAGTGCCTAGCGCTTTTAACCCTATGCTTATCCTACAGTTTTTTGATTTTTATTAGAGATGAGGTCTTGCTCTTGCTCATGCTAGTTTTGAACTTCTGAGCTCAAGCAATCTTCCATCCTTGGCCTCACAGAGTGCTAGGGTAACACACATGTGCTATTGCTTTGGCTCATTCTTTTATAATATAATGAAACTGTAAAATTTTCTAGACTCACTTATAAGTAGTTTTGTATATTTATGCTAATGCCTGAATTATTTTAATATGTGAAAAATTATAATTAAGTCATCTGTATGTCACTATTGCTTTATAATCTAGTTCCTTTTCTAAACCTCATGTAATATTTGCAAGGTGGTAAGTTGCTACCAAATATGCAAACTAAAATACGTTATAAACAATGTGCTAGCAGTATATAGGAAATACTTGAAGAGACACGAGGAGAGTGATCAATTTGTAGTAGCAATAGGAGTAATAATAGCTATAATTTGGGATTTTTTTTTGGAAGCTCATTCACTTTGTTTTAGTTAATTTTATTTCAGATTAATATGAGGGTACAAACAATTAGGTTACATTGTTTGCATTTAGTAGGCAAAGTTCAAGTTGTAGTTGAGGCCTTGACCCAGGGGATAATGCTGTATATACTTCCATTGTGCCCAGTTAGGTAACTCTCTTTTCTCACTCCTTTCCCTCCTCTCCTCTCCCCCTCACTTGAATTTAATCATGTTTCTTCTGTGGATGTATAGTTATTTGTATGTTGATCTCAGTATTGAGTACTCTGGATACTTGCTTTTTCATGCTTGTGATATTTTACTAAAAATAATGTACTGTGTACTTTTTACTTGTCACATATAGTCCTAATCTTATTACATAGACATTATTATCGTCCCTTTTATCAATAAAGAAACTTTAGATAATTTAACTAGCTTGCCTAGGACCATGGAGTTTTCAAGATATAAAACTAGGTTTTAAGGATTAGATAAGAATCCTTCATAAAGAACATTTTGTCAGGTTTTTTGTACTAAATGTCAGGTTTGTGTTCCCTGGTTCTTGGTCCCTAGTACTGAAGGATGGTTACTGGTACTGAGTCAGTGGAGCAAATAAACAGACCAAGCAGGCAAAGTGCCAATATTTATTAAGCAAACAGGACGTTCCAAAGAGAAAGAACATATCTGTGAGTGGAAAAGACCCTGAGTTTAAAGACAGAGTATAGAAAGTGTAATACACTCTTAAAGACAGTAGAGAGTGGATTGCTCCAACAAGGAATAGCAGCCCCCCTGGGGTTATGGTCTATCCTTTTATGTTAATCCCTAATAATTTGCTAAGCTGGGGGTGAAATATTTATAAATTTTCTTAGAATGGAAACCCCCCACCCCTTTCCTGACCTTAGCGTCCCACAGTTGCCATGGCATTTGTGAACTGTCAATAGTGTAAGGGGGCTGTGATTTTTACCATGCTAATGAGGGCAGGTCACTTGAGTATCACTTTGTACACATGCTCCAAAGACCCCTTTTTGTGATCTTGGCCATATCTCCACTTTGTGGACTCACCACCTCTTTCTGGTTGGTCAGTCCTTGGAGACTCCCTATCATAAACTGAACATCTGTTCGGTCCTTGAAGACCCCCTGGTTAAGGCATCTGTTCCCCTTGGAAGTCCCCTCTGGTCAATTTGTTTCTTATAGTAGACAAAGCATTTCTTAATGCCATCTGTTCTTCTTCTCCTTATCCCTACTTAACAATTTGATTATCCTTAGCAGAAGAAAATAGGTAGTTTGGACAAGAGGAAAGGATTCACTTGGAGTTGTGTCACATGATGTCTTCTTTAGGGAAATGTTGAGTAGTTATATACTACAAAATCATGGGATTCATGGAAGAGAGTTGGAGGTTTGAGTGTAAAGATAAATCTGAAATGGAACATTGAGGGAAGAATATGTAGGCTGAGTGGATGCCATATGGAGGACTTTAGATGTTAATCATTAGTAGTGATAGAATAATGGTAGCCTTTTTTTTTTTTTGAGATGGAGCCTCAAGCTATCCCCCTGGGTAGAGTGCCATGGCATCAC